TCCTTTTTCTGTTCCTTCCTTTCTCATTATATTGAGTTGATGCGGGGTTAAAATTAGTAAAAACACATCTTCTCACTTGGCTCACAGGCCGCCACATCTCAGTTCTAGTTTTACGGCACTTGCAACACAAATATGTCGTACATAAGCCGAAGAGAGGTGTTCTTTGAGAGAAATGTACAATGAAAAGAGGGAGGAGAGCTCGAGCTCTCTCTCTATGCCTCCGCACAAGTCTGAGAGTTACAAAAGACTGCTCCAGATTCAGAAAGAGATGCAGATTGACAAAATAACCACCATTTAATGTCGATAATTTTATATAATGTAAATGTAGGTGTTTTTACACCCCACATCATCACAATATATATATATAGGAAAGAAAGAAAGAAGGAAAGAAAGACTTTTAAGAAAAATTTAAGAAAGAACGAAAGACGGAAAGAAAGATTTAAGAAAGAAAGAAAGAAATTGCATTCAGTTGAGGTATATATATATAATAATACAAGTCAGCACCAGAGTCCGTCACATTTCACCAGGCAAAGACAGAGCCAGTAGCTCAGAGAAAGGAAATACCCCGGACCGCACCACAAGGTGCCCTCGGAACAGTACAGCCAACCAGGAAGATGGAAAAAAACCCATTCATTTCTTTTTTTAATTAAGTAAAAATTTTAGGCCAAAAATTTGTTAACACCTGCGACAAAAATAGGGTCACACATATGTGCTGGAGATTAGAGGCCTTACTGCTAGAGGGCAGTACAAGCGGAAATTGAAAAAGCGGGGACATCATGGAAACAGATAGAAAAGGATGCTCAGGACAGGCTTCGCTGGAGTAATGTTGTTGATGGCCTGTGCTCCACTGGGAGTTAAAAAGGGCGAGAGAGAGAGAGAGAGAGAAAGACTGCTAGAGAGAAACATACAGAGTAAGAAAAGAAGGAGAGGAGAGGAGAGAGATTATAGATAAGGGTGGTTGTTGATGTTTGATAGAAGGAAAGAACGAGCAAAGCAAACCCACCCAGAGCACCCGCCAGCCACCCACAAACATACTAACATTAATTAATCACACGGCAGCTTGCGCCAGGGCGGTGTAGAAATTACTGACAGCCAACTTTCCCACCGGTCACTATCACCCAGGTCGGCCACATACAAAAACAGAACAGCAATTATTAATAACAACAACCAAAAAAAAAAGAAAGAAAAAAAAAGGACTGTAGGGTTTTTAAAAAGTCATATGACAAAATTGCAAAAACAGGATTATGTCGGTCAAACTAGGAAGCGATTCTTCCTCCAAAGTTTAAAAAAACAAAAAAGAAAAAACCCCACAAAAAAACACAACTACAACAGAGCAGCTGGCAGGCAAGAGAGTAGTGTAGAAAAGATAACAACAACACCACCACCACCAGACTGTGAGAGTGATGTGGCCACCTCCCTGCAGACAGGATTGATGAGGTCGTCATGACTCACCGTGCTCAGACGCACTGTACTACACAATCCTCGGTGAAAAAGACAATTATTGTAACAAACAATGATTGGAAGGGTACAATGTAAAACTTGAAGAACACCCCCCCCCCAAAAAAAAAAAAATGTTTTTAAAACAACAAATACACAAAAAAAGTATCAGCTGTTTGTGGGTTATTCTTGCTGTGGTTTTGAAGGGTTGGAAATATAATTTTAAAAATCTTAAAAACTAAATATATATAATATTATGAACTCAAAGACAACAATATCAGTAACGGTACATTTTGTTTGCGGTTTTTTGTTTTTCAAGAGAGCATACATGATGTAAACATTTGCCTGCAGCAATTCTCAGCAATTACCAGAGACCTTTGAAAGCTACCTGAGATAAAAATTCTAATTGTTCACTATCTGGATCATGTAGAAGATGGGCTTCTAACCCTGTCCTTCAGGGTCAACCAGGGCTGAGAGGGATACAACATCCCAGATGAAGGACTGAAATACTCATCATTAAAAATTTCTCCCAACTCTGGAATTGATATTCAAAACTGGACAACAACATTATGTTGTTGTTGTTAGCGATCCAGGACAACAACATTATAAAACTTGCAAACTTTTTCAAAACCCAATCTGGGATGCGTAACGTTATTATTGTTATAACATCAGATTACATACCATCAAACATAAATCACATCAAGTAGGGCTGGTTTTGGTGCTGTGTGTGACACCCGTTTAAAAATGTTCTCACAAATTCACCGATTTCCGAATCCAAAAAGAGATCCGGAAAATGTGGGACAATTCATTACCTTAGAATTTCAAAGTTTTCTCTGACATTTTGTGCCGTTTTCAGTTACTAAGACTATGAGGAAAGAAACCATTTCTTTATAAAATGCTCTATCAAAATCGTAAGATTATTCAAAGTCGTTATCACTGAGGTATTCAAAGAATTGCATTAAAAATAGCTTAACATGTAAAAATTCAAAATTTTGGATACGTCAAATTTCTCCAGCCTAGGTACTGAGCAGATAGAACTTAGTAATTCTTAGGTTTGGTGGTGAACCGACGAGCCTTTCATGCCCCTGCTTGATTCTCCACATCTTTCACTCACTACTGTACCCCCCCCCCCCCCCCCCCCCCCACTCCATTCTACTCTACCTGCTTTTTTTTTCCCTTCACAACCTGACATTGCCTACCATAACAAAATGAGTGATGATCAATTCTATCAAATGCTGCCACAAAAAATTTAAATATTGCGTGTCACCTTTTCAAACACAATAATTTACCCAAACTTAATTGGCAATATTTTATTATATTATGCTGCTAATTTCATGAATGAAAAGTTACAATTACAGAATCAATACTTCTAGTACATTAAAAATTACAATAAAACAAAAACAACAAGCATTCAAAAGGATCGCAGCACACAGCTTAAAACAACTGTTTTCTCTTTCAGTGGGTTAGCCCGTCAAACCCCTCTACATTCACAGAGTGACATCTTGCCATTTAAAAGCAATTAACACTCTACTCCGGACTTCCAAATTTATTAGGAAAATCCGCACCTCTCAAGAGAAAAATAAAACGTCAACGAAAAAGTAGGAGCTAACCATACTGACATTCCCGGCAACCACATTTTATAAACTCTGAGCCAAACAGCACAGAGGAAAGAGCAATAAAATAAAACACTTTCCTTTGGCAGTTTTCTGCCTGATGTGCAGATTCTGCACCTGTAAAAGTAAGTGAGTGTATCTTACAGACAGTGGCAATGGCCAAACTTAAAAGTAAAAGAGTACATCAGTACACCAGGCAGAGAGGTGCCTCATGACACTAAACACATTCTAAACACCCATCATTTACTCTACATTAGACTATAATTAGACAATAGTAGTGGCCAAATTCAAAGTGAAGGGAATACTAATAGAGGCAGAGAGATGCCCCCCCCCCCCCCCTGCCCCTTCCCTCGACACACCTTACACACAAAACTTATTCCTCCACATTATAAACCCAACTAAACAAGTTCAGAAATGAAATAGCACAGATAGTAAGAATCTGGTTGCCCCCCAAAAAGTTACACACTTTGCACAATGCGTTAACAGTGAAGAAGCAGTTCCAAGATCAGCCGTCTTGTTTCTCACTCATTCCCTCTTCAATAAATAAGTTGTCGTGTTTGGGGCTGGGTTTTTTTTGTTCTTTTTCTTGATTAGCACTCTTAATTAATTATATAATTAATTACTGTTGTGACCACCAGTACAATTCACCCAACATTGTCTTGTGCATACCAATTCAACTATGGTATCAGCATTACTTAATTTCACTGAAAAAAGTACCAGTTATTGATACTGAAATTGTGCACTAACTACATGGTATCAGCATTACTTAATTTCACTGAAAAAGTACCAGTTATTGATACAACTGAAATTGTGCACTAACTACATGGTATCAGCATTACTTAATTTCACCGAAAAAGTACCAGTTATTGATACAACTGAAATTGTGCACTAACTACAATCCTCAACACGTGAAGTTTCATGAACTATGGCCTTAATTAAATACAACCATTTGTGGTTTTTCTCTCGCGCTTCAGCCTCTTGCAGCTCTACTGACAGGTTATACTCTACTCAAACCAGTCTCAGGTTTAGTTTCAGTAAGAGTTTTATGCTCTTGAAACGCAAAATAGGACATAGAGTGCCGAAGATAAGAGGCGTTACTAGAGTAACATACTAAAAATTTAATAAATAAATAAAAGGAGGAAAGATAAGGATGACAAATGCTAGATGGGAACGAAGGAGCAAATCACGCAGATCACACTAGAGCACCCGCCAAAGATCAAGAGCTAAAACTGCGGTAAACGTAGAAGTCCTGAATTGTGGTAGACCGGTGGAGATTCCCAGACAGGCAGGCAAGTCACAACTGTACATATAGTAGACCGGTGGAGATTCCCAGACAGGCAGGCAAGTCACAACTGTACATATAGGCTACTGAGGAAGACTCCCAGCCAAACAAGTAAGTCACGACTGTACGTGGGCAGGTCACGACTGTATGTGGGCAGGTCACGACTGTACGTGGGCGGTCACGACTGTACGTGGGCGGTCAAGACTGTACGTGGGCAGTCACGACTGTACATCCCCAAAAAGTTCTTTCAAATTGAAGTTAGTCGTCATTCAACATTTACACCTCTCTGTGTAGATGGCATTCATTCATTCATTCATTCATTCATTCATTCTGCCAACATTAAACTAGTCAGGACAACTAACTTTGGTTTCTACACTTTAAGCAAACGTGTGTTTCATCAAAGAACTTTCCTCCAAACTCTCTCCCACTTGCAGTTACAACTTACATGGTGTATTTCATCATACACTGTAGATCATCATCAATATTTCAAAATTTTTCATTTACAGACTTGCCAACCACTGAATGACCAAATATAGGAGTTTTCCTTCAGAATTCTCTTCTCCC